TAGACAGCGGCGTTCAAACACCGACAATCTATCTTTATCCTGTTTTCTAACTGGCCAAGTTTCTGCTCCGTATAGCAGAACTGTCCGAACTACTGCAGCATACACTCGATCCTCCACAGATGTTTCAAACTGGTAAGCGCCAACCGTGCCTTCTGTATGCGAGCTGACACTTCATCCGCGATGCGTGCATCGGGTGAGATGTAGCTGTCCAAGTAACAAAACTTATCCACTTTCTCTTTTACTTCCATAGTTAGAGTGAGACTGGGTGCTGGGTCAGCCCAATCTTGTAGCAACATTTAAATCTCTGAAGGTGCAAAACACATACCGTACATGGCTAGGCTGGCACCCATAGTTTTCAGAAAACTTGCAACTTACCTGGATGTTTACTTAGTGGCACAGTGTCATCTGCATACTCTAGATCGAACCGCTTACCACCTGGGAGTAGATCGATGCCACTATCCTCGTCTGAGGATAGAGCTGTTTCCATAATAAAATCTGACAAAATTAAAAAGAAATGGAGAGAGAGAGAGAGGGAAACCCTATTGAACACCACTTTCCGTGGTAAACTCGGGCGAAAGAGTGCCGTAAGCTCGTATTCGGCTTCGACTATTAGTATAAAGGGATTGTAATATTGAAGTAAACTTGTCGGGCGCCTCCTTAAGGGACAGGTAGTGCTGGAGTTTAGTGCGGTCGACTGAGTCGAAAACCGCTTTCAAATCGAGCAAAACAGAGATGGTGGATCTGCGAAAAGAATTTCGATGCTCAAGAGCTTGGCGAAGAGTGAAGATGTGGTCGATACAACCTCGACCAGATCTAAAGCCAGCCTGGTTCTCACGCGTGCACTGTTCACGTGCGGCAGACAATCGATGGAGTTTGGAGGCAATGTTAGTTAAACTAATTTCTCTGTGGTTTTCACACGACAACCTTTCACCTTTCTTATTAATCGGTATGATGATCGATTTACACCATTCAACTGGGACCTTTTCGCTCTCCCATATTCAACCCAGGAGTTTCGCTAACTCCGAAACCAGGGCTCAACCTCCAAAATATAAAAACGAATGTGGAGAGCGCGTCAGGGCCGGATGCCTTACTCTTTTTGAAATGGATTATTTAGCGGGGAACCTTCACTTCAGATGGAGGACTGGTACCAACTGGCAATATTTTCGCAGTC